TTATTCATTATCCTTTTGCTTAGTTTTCATGTTTGGTAAAATAATTTCTAATTGCATCTTTAGTGATTTTTCAACTAATTACACTGTCTTGTCCCAATAGGTGGATTTAGAGGTTTTTGCGCAAAAAAAAAAAGCAGATGTGGATTTAGCTGGTTTTGACGCAAAATAAAATCTACCTTGTTAAAATGGTCTAAAGTGACATTTTTGAAAAAAAGCTATTTTATTTACTAGCTAATAACCTTATCATTATGTATGAAATGAAACTTCTAAACATGATCAGAAAAGCCTGACAGAAAATTCACAAAAAAGAGGTCTGAGGGATTTAGAGGGTTTTGAGATGAGATGATTAGAGATGAATGAACTCTTCATATATATATATATATATATATATATATATATATATATATATATATATATATATATATATATATATATATATATATATATATTGGAACTGACAAACTTTGAGGTTTAGGGTTAATCAACCAATTTTAGCATTAAAGTGAAAGTAAGTTAAACTTGTTTCTTAAATACACCCCTGGCCATTTTGAATGATGTTTGTGATTTTTGTAACATTCCAATTGAGTAAAACAAAAAAAAAACTGTGACAAAAAAAAATCTAACAGCATCAGAAGGTTTATTTTACAATATTATTTTATATGCAATTACTAAAATATGTTGAGAATGTATTTTTGTTTCATGGAAGTATATGGCCGTGCAATAGATGGGTTTCTGGGTGCTTTACTTACTGGTACATTCTGATTAGTGAGGCATATTTTTCGTGTTTTTAGTATGGCAGCAGCGTGATGAGACTCTCAGCATCTATTTTATCTGTTTTATCAAGCTGTGGACATAGCATTTTTTACAGTCACTCATTAAAGTCACTTTTGAACCAGCCGTCCAATCAGAGCGGAGGAGGGGCATAACCAGTACCAAACCAACTGTCACATTATTCAGCACAGGAAAGGAAAAACTGTACTGGCTGTACACAGAGCCAGTATTTTCAGATTAATTCAAACTATCAGTACTATTATTCCGTCTCAATGCAGCAGAAAAAAAAATAAATAAATAAACTCAGCTGTGTGTTTTCTGTTGCATAAAAACACTTTGGTGGACACACACCCTATAGGTACAAATTCTGCCCCAATTCTATCAAGGACAATCATTTTGAAATAAGAACAGATCAGTTTAACGAAATCATATACATGGTCACACTTTACAATAAGGTTCCATTTAGTTAATGTGTTTACTAGCATGAACTAAGAATGAGCTTGTACAGCATTTGTTAATCATCGTTTTAAAGTTACTAATCTCTTATTAAAATCCAATTTAAGCTTGTTTACATTAGTTAATGCACTGTGAGTTAACAAGAACAAACTATTAAAATGCTAAATACAGTACTGAATGTAATCTTCAATGTATAAAGTTATTATCCATGTTTCCATCCCACTATTTTTATGCACATTTTGGAAAACCTTATAAAAAGTGCTTATGAAAATGGGCAGATGTGCAAACATTTTGAAAACAATGTATGCGTATGATATACTTTATATCTGATAAGAAAAAAATGTGCATAAACTATATGTTATAAACTCATTTGTCAAATAAAATACAGTATGTGCATTAAAAAAGTCACCAGATTTTGTGACTCATGTGATAACAAAAATTTGTGCAATGGGATGAGATTAATAGAAAAACCATCAGAACGACAACATTGCACAACATCTGAAAGTTTGTTTTGGTCCATTTAAGCCAAAGTCCGTCATCAAAGTGGTTCAGTATTATCACCTCCCAGAACTGTGTTAAACTTAAACAAAATCTGCTCACCATTATTGCATTTTGGCAATAATCAGTTTATTAAATAAGAAAAAAGCCCACAATGGCTCCTTCTACCTGAGCAAATTCCATTTTTCTCTTTTGATATTTAGCATCAGTTTATAACACTGTGTCTGAATTACATGTGATGTGACAAGATTCCAGCGACAAGCAATTTGACTTAAATATCAGCCACTGCACTCCTGATGAAATGGTAAAGGTTCCAAGTAATATAGAATTAATACATTAATATATTAAATTAATAAATATTAAACCAATTTAACATAAAGTACAAAGGCTGCGTAGTGATGTTGTTGAGTCACTGACTTTCAGTTTCAAAGCGTTTGCTAGCTATTTTATTTTCAAGATCTCTGGTAAACAATCTGCTGCTTCTTTCAGTATGGCAATAAATGTCATTCATTCATTTTCCGTCTGCTTGATCCCTGGCAACCAGTGGTCACCACAGCAGAATGAACCGCCAACTATCCTGGCGTATGATTTAAGCATGATTTAAGATACCCTTCCAACTGCAGCCCAGTATTGAGAAAGCAATAAATTCATACCTGTCAACAGTGAAAATAAGGGATATGTCCACCATAATAAGAGTGAAAGCACAGAAAAGACTCACATTTAAGAGCAAGGGGCGGCCCCTGGTGGTTCGGCGGTATGGGTTGCGTAAAGGGAGGATCGGCTCTTTTATGATTATTGCCACCCTTCAGACAAAGACTGAAAATACAGAAAAATACCTTTACGGGATGATAGCAGGATAGAACTGTAAAATACGGGAGAATCCTGGGAAAAATTGAAGAGTTACCAGGTATGATAAATGTCATGTAAAATTGTATTCAAACTCACATTGGTAGCATTTAATAGTGAATAAAGCACATAATCGATACCTGAGGTAATCATTGTCTTTGTTGTTTATACTGCTGTTTTGCTGTGACGTTGTGGAAATAGAAACTTTTTCTAAAAAAGAAATTTCAAGCATCACCATCACAGATGGCTAGGACAAAAACATTTGTTTTAGCATGAAAACGATACCTTTAATTACGTGTTGCTGCAACACATCACATGTAGTTAGGACATAGTGTCGGAAAGTGACAATTATGTTCAATTTGACTCATTGGATAGAAACATTGCTTTATTCGCAAATGTTTATGTGATATTGCAGTTTAATTTGGATCTTTGGATGGAAACATGGCTATTGCTAAAAATAAATAATCCTTTAAAGATAATGAGCTTTTACTTCTGCTCCCTGAATGTTGTGGTCTAATACATTTCATTGTACAATTTTGGCGAGGTCTTGCCATTTTAAAATAACATACAGATATAAATCAGATGTTCCACTGGTAGCAGTCTGAGGACTCAGTCCAAGAGATATAAGCACTTACTATCGAATTATGGGAATTATTCTCATTACATGACACAATTGAAAACTGAAATCGATTGACTTGATTTGTTAAAACTGGAAATCAGGTTAGGTGACACCAGCTCGCAGTTTGAAATCGGATGACTGACCCTCAAAGCCAGGTGACTATTAATCACAATTCTACATGTAGGTCTCAGTACATGAACATAGAGCAAGAATCAGTTTTGGTCTTACCAGGTTTATCTAATTCATAGAAATAAGTGATCATAGCACATAGATGTAGAGAATAAGAGAGTTCGCTTGCATGTTTAAACCCAGACTAAAAATGTTCGGTCTCTGTTTCTGTTTGTCTGCTCATTTCTTTAGTAAGTCCAGTGGAAGCTCCTCCTCCAGTTTGGGGGATGTGATGTCATCAGGTGAGCCAATGATCTGTTGGGGGTGGGGCTTTAGAAGATGGGGGGTGGGGTTTCAGGAATCTCGCCGCAATTCGTCAGTGGATGATTTTACTTCAACACTGTCCTGCGTAAGGCTAAAGATCAAATGAGCAGCTTCTTGTGAGCATTGGACAGTAGACCATGAATGACTTGACTGGCTTTTTTCACATTTGAAGAACTTGACAATACTTTGTTCTGACTTTATTCTTTTCCTTCTCTTTGTACAGGCAAGCAGAAACAGAAAGTGGTAAGTTTGTCTACACGATGGAAGAATCTGTATCTACCTTTTCTGTCCAGTCATTGAAGAGATGTGTCCGTCACCACTTTCCTCAACACAAACTCTTCTGAAGTTCAGATTCAGCTCGTTGTGCTTAACCCTCTGGTGTTGTTCATTTAGAAGTCACACCTGGGTTGTTCGCAAAACTAACCAGACTTTAATCATATAATCATTTAATTTATTTTATAAATACAGGACGTGTGTTTCATTAATATGCAAATTTTGAATTAGGGTAATATTTAAGGTAAAATTAAAGCAAAAAGTTCTTAAAAACTATTGAATGGGGACAGATTAGTGCTACCCTGATGTCTGTATCTAAATATAAATATATACTAGGCTTTACCTTGCCTTCCCTATTTACTGTAATCATGAACATTATTTAGTAGCTGTTTGCGCTATGGTTCACAGAATATTTCATCCCACTTTCTATTGTGTCCTAACTACTATGTACTTATATCCAATTACAGTTGAAACCAGAAGTTTACATACACTGTATAAAAAGGCACATAACCATTTACAAAAAGTCAGATGTTAATGTGACTAAACTTTTTCTCTTTTAGGTAAGTTAGGATTATCAAATTTGTTTCTACCATGCTTAATAGCAGAATAATGAGAGAGATTTTTTGAGAAATTGTTATAAATTTTCTTGAAAGTCAAGTGTTTGCCTCTGAAAAAGCTCAGATGATCGTGTCAAGGTTTGGGAAGTTTCTGATTGGCTAATTGACAACATTTGAGTTAACTGGAGTGGCATAACTGTAGAATAGTATAATAGTATTTAAGGAAAACCTCAAACACACTGCTTCCTTGTGTGACAATATGGGAAAATCAACAAGCCGGAATTAACAAAAAAGCCAGATTACAATTTGCTAAATTACACTGGGAAAAGAATAATTTTTGGAGACATGTCTTGTGGTCTGATGGAAATAAGATTGAACTGTTTGGCCATAATGACCAGTCTTACATATGGCAGACACAGGGGAAAGCTTACAAGCCAAGGAACACCGTCCCAACTGTGAAGTATGGGGGCTGCTTTGCTGCTGAAGGGACTGGTCTACTTCACATCATGAAGAAAGAACAATATATAGAAATACTGAAGCAACATCTCAAGACATCAGCCAGGAGATTAAAACTTGGCCACAAATGGGTCTTCCAAACGGACCATGACCCTAAGCATACTGCCAAAATAGTTCAAAAATGCTTTAAAAACAACAGAGTGAATGTTTTGGAGTGGCCATCACAAAGCCCTGATCTCAATCCTATAGAAAATTTGTGGGCAGAGTTGAAAAAGCTTGTGCGAGCATGACAGCCAACAAATCTGACTCAGTTCCTCCAATTCAGTCAGGTGGAATGAGCCAAAATTCCTGCAAACTATTGTGAGAAGCTTGTGGAAGGATACCCAAAACATTTGACCAAAGATATACAGTTTAAAAGCAAAGTTAAAAAAAATACCAAGGATATGTATGTAAACTTTTGACTTTTGACTTTTGACTTTCTTTTGTCTAGAAATTAACAAAAAATCTCAAAAAAAAAAAAAAAAATCTCTCATTATTCTGGCATTTAGCAAATGTAAATCATTTAGGCATAATCCTAACGGACCTAAAATAGTAAACAATTAGTATGATTTACCATCAAAAATTGTTTTTAAAAATGGTTTTGTTTCATTTTTTTAGAGTGTATGTAAACTTCTGGTTTCAACTGTACAAATACAATATTCTTAATGTGTTTATAATGTTTTGTAGAACACTTTTAGTGCTGTTGAGGTGGGATATGCACAAGGTTAGGGAAAGGTTTAGTGTTATGGGTGAGTTTAAAGATGGGTTAAGGTGTAAGGGATGGTCAACTGTGTAATTATAAATGTAATTATAGAAATTAAATACAGATGTAATTACATGCAGGTATTTAATCAAGTATAAGTAAAATGTAAAAACCTGTATTTACACAATACTTACATTGTATCTAATTATTAATTTTATTGCAAGTACATATTAGTTAAGGCCACTTAATATAAAGTATGACAGAATATTTTGTGACCCATGATCTAATTTGAACTTTAAACTTTAATATAAACATAATTTCAATGAACAGGATAATAGTCAATGAACAGGAATGCTTTATCAGATTTATTGTATAGTTATTTTTTTGGGTGTGCAAGCAGCATGAGCATATTAATATATAGCAAGAGTGACTTAAACACTATCCCCTATAGTTTTCTGTTCTTATAAGATATAGTTAAATAATCTCACACAAGTAAGAGTGCCATTTTGCCGCCATTGTCATTTATTTATCAAACCAGTTGTATTGGTGTGTTTCTGTTACACTCTCTTGATCTTTTAGTGTCTTATTTCTGTATACTTTGTTCTGCATTATGGCTGACTTATTGAATGTGTGCACCATACAGTTCATAGCTGTGTTTTTGTGTAGATGTGTAAGTAGTTGTTGTTTTTCTGCTTCATGCCTGAATTTTAGGCTGTACATTTTCATCTTTTTTGTATCTCTTCTCTTTTTGCTATGCCATCATTTTCCAACGCAATCAACACAAGTGTGACTATTTTTTAAAACCATTTGGATTTTTTGTAATCAACTCTGTATGTTTTATTTATTGTGGAACAATGTTTATATTTATATTTATTAACAATGAATATCTATATGAATAATATATTTATTTCTATATAAAATGTCGAACAACACCAGAAGGTTAAAAAAAGTTTTGATGCATTAAACTATTATGTAAGATGGGGTCAGAAATTAACACAATGTTATGGGCAAAATTTCCCACAAATTGGAGATCAGGGGGAAAATATGCCCTAATATAAACTATTATGGCTGTCAAAATTTATCACAAAGAACATAATATGTATTATTTTAATCAAAAATAGTGCCATAATTACAATATCAAAAGTAAAAAAAATGTCCAGATAGTAAAGCTCTACCCTGTAATAAGATCCTTTTTACACAGTTTTTACAAAGTTTGCTCTTGTTTGTGACCCTGAACCACAAAACTAGTCTCACATTGCACTGACTTTCCTTTGCCAATAGCCACACATACATAATATAGGTCAAAATTATTGATTTTAAATTTGTCAAAAATGATTACAATATTAAGTTCATGCATAAAAAAATATAAATTTCCAACAGTAAATATTAAAAAGTTTAATTATTATTTTGTAAAATGTATTGCTAGGAACTTCATTTGTTTAACTTTAAAGATAATTTTCTCAGTTATTTGTTTTTGCACCCTTAGATTTCAAATTCCACCCCCATATTTTCTTGTATTTGTTTCTCAGCCAGAAATTGTCCTAAAGTGGGGGTGCCCAAACTCAGTCCTGGAGGGCTGGTGTCCTGCAGATTTTAGCTCCAGGTTGCCTTAACACACCTGCACGGATGTTTCTAGTAAGCCTAGGCTGCGTCCGAAATTGCATACCTCCATACTATATAGTAAGCTAAAATCAGTATGCGAACCGAGAAGTATGTCTGAATTCATAGAATTCGAAAAACAGTATGCGAGAAGTACGCGGATGACTTAGCACTTCCGGCGAGATTCTGAAGTGTGCATTCGGTGCACACTGCGCAATCCCATGATGCACTGTAAGAGAATTCATGAATGTGTGTAATGTAGCATGTCTGAGTTCTATTCATACGACTCACATTCATACAGTACTGTATAGAGCATACTTTTCCAACGGTCGAGTAGTACATTTGAATTCAAATGCAGTACCTACTGAGTAGTAGGCGGTTTCGGACACAGTTCTAGTAAAAGCTTGATTTCTAGCCCAGGTGTTTCTTATTGGGGTTAGAACTAAACTTTGCAGGACACCGGCTCTCCTGGATCGAGTCTGGGAACTTTTGTCCTAAAACTTGTTAATATATGTTTCATATAATTAGGGATGTCCAGATCCGATCACGTAATCGAAAAATCAGTTTCAGATTTGATCAGAATTGGATGGTACCTCCCGATCAGGAATATATATGTAAACATGTCGTTATTATTAACACATCTATAGTTATGCGGTGGCACAGAGTTAGACCTCTTTCTTGACTTCACACAGAAACAGCAACGTATGCTGCATGACATCACTTTGTTGCAGAGACACTATTGGTTACTTGGCGGCAAAGTAGAACACGGAAGCAGCTGCGGTCTGGAGGTATTATAGTTGATGATGACAACATTGCCATAGCAAACTGTGAGACATGTAAACTTGGGATTGCCTGCCGGGTATTTTAAGTTGAGGTGATATTTGTTTTTATATTAGATTTATATATATATATATATATATATATATATATATATATATATATATATATATATATATATATATATATATATATATATATATATATATATTTACTGTTGCACTAAAATCCAAAAGTGAAGAATTTATGTTATTTATTACTTGATTGTTCAAGCTACCTCGCCGAAATTGTTTGTTTGTTAACAGAATTGTTGAATGCTAAAATAAGAAACATCCTGGATCTGTTTCTTTGCTCCTCTTTATTTATTATTTATGTATATTAGAAGTATCGCATCGAGTTTTGGTAATGGTAGATACTTAAAATCAATTGACTCGGACTCAAGGGCAAAAAAAAAAACATGATCGGGACATCCCTACATATAATGCATACATCTCAATTTTCAAGAATTGACACTTATGACTGGCTTTGTGGTCCAAGGTCATATTAGGCAAAAAATGTATAGTATTCTGATTGATGTAACTGATTAAATGCAAGTATTGGGCATGAAACAAAACACAATTACAGTTAATGAAGTAGCAACCAATTCATAGAGAAGTTAATTTCTGCCCCTGCTGTATGCATATACAGTCATTTACCTATGATCTCATCTGCAGACTGAACATGTGGCTCCCTATGATGTTGTGCCTTCCATGAGGCCTGTGGTTCTGGTTGGTCCATCCCTGAAAGGATATGAGGTATGTTGAGACCTATCATCGTTAGACTTGGGTACTTGTTGTTGACTGAAAGAAAATGCTTAAAAAAATCCATCAAGAGAGTTTTACAGGTGAATCAGTGAATTAATCATCAAATAACATTGAACAGGAAATTTCTCCGTCAAGGTCTTGGAGCTGGTGTTCTCCGTTCATGACTGTCCGTGTGTGCGCATTTTGGGTTATTGATACCAGCAAAATATAATATCTATTCCAGTCTCTCCATCTCTTCACGCAGAGAAAACAAAAACATACTCCTCCTCTTCGCCGATCCGTTGCCATGGCAACAACCTTCCGGGGTCCAGGAGACGTCAGTGCTAGAAAGTAGAGCACGGTTTCAAATTAGAAAGAGACAGAAAAGGGAGAGAATAACAGGGATGGTGATGGAGAGAAAGAAAGAAGGAATGCGAGAGACAGCAGGCGAGACGCTGAAGTAGAGAAAGTCTACAAGGAAAAGAAGCTCTTTGCGATTTTTAAGCCGTAACTAGATGAGGTTTTGCTTTATTTTAGAGCTGTTATTTATTCACAGAGCTGCTTGCCGTTTAAATCACAGCTTGTTTTATTAAGCTGAAGTTCATTTATGAGTTGATGAGCCAGGAGTTTTGTCCTTAAAATCAAATTGAATGGCTAGCTCAGTTCCAAAAGCTGCCTCAGTTTGGAAAGCTCACAAATAACACTTTGCACAGGAGGCAATTAATAAAGTGCAATAATTACGTTGCGAAAGTAAAAAAAAATCACATTAATTTTCTCGAAGACAATTGATTTTGATTGATAACTCATTAAAGAGCCCCTATTATAAATGAAATAGGGTCATATTTTGGTTGTAAGGGTCTTCAACAACAGTCTAATATGCATGCAAGTTCCAAAAACACTTTCATGGTCTTATAATCTGCATTTATTTTTACCTAACTATGCCAGCGACTCCCATATGAATCGTTCAATGATTCATTTGTTCCCAAACCCCTCCCTAGCGCGAAGCTAATCTGCGCTGATTGGACCGATGACAGCCTGTCGCGATTGGTCGATACTTACAGCCTTCAGCGCGAGACTGAAATACCCAGCAGCTAATCAACAATATAAAAGTAGCCACAGTGCATACACGCTTCATAGTGTAAGGCGTGGATTTTGGCTGCCAGTGAGTGAATGTAAATACAGACGATGGACATGAAAATACCGACGACTAACTGTTTTATTGAGCTAAAACTCCAACATGTGAGATCTCCTAGCACACCTCTACCTGCTCTTTTCACACACACACACACACACACACACACACACACACACACACACACACAAAACACCAAAACATTCAAAAACAGAGAATGCACTTTCAGGTTGGGAGCGGGGTGATCGTCGTTTGCCTAGAGCGCCAATTCAGCTTGCTGGTGTAATTTAGACAACTCACCTCGAACCTGAGCTAAACTATTTTGAAACTTGACCGTTGCATGTGTGTAGTAACAGCTGACGGTCCATAAACAAAGCGGCACGCGGCACATTTTTAACGTGGCTTTACACGCGATATCTGAATATAGCAAGTTAACCTGATACAGTACACGCGGTTACAAGTAACAAAACACAACTAAATACATAATTTGCAAGCTAGAGTAAACGAGGCAACAATTTTAATTGCACGTACTTACAATTGTGAAATGGAGGAAGAAAGTGATCTCTTTTGCACTGATCCATGTTCTGACAGTCTTTACTGATCCTTCCTTTAACAAACGGCCGATAAAGTCTTCTTCGTAAGCATGTAGTTTCCAGAAGCACTCGAACTGCTCAAGGCTGGGCTGTAATGCTGAGGTTTCATCTTTGGGTAGAGACTGTCAATAATATCCATCTGCACAGCATGACTTCATTCGACCGGCGTGTGTGTGTGTGGCTTTTTTTTTTCTGTGTTCGTGGGCGGGGCCGCAGATTTCAAATTCCCGGGTTTGCTCACGCAACTACTTGTGTTTCGTAGTCGCGTCAATTAAAAAAAATGAATTCACAATTATTCATTTGTCAAAGTTACAAATGGTACATTTTTTTGTGTATACTCATGATGTGACTGTTGCGAGGGATCACAGTGCGATATCGATGCTGAAATAATACATTGTGCAGCCCTTCTCCCTGCCCACTGTTCCCACGTTTCTGTCTGCTTTTCACCATGCGTTGTCAGATAAACAGTTTATTCAAGCCTTTCTGAAATGATGAGTCTCATACAAATGGTTTATATCACTTTGGTTTATATCACTTTAATATGACTGTGGACACACTATACCTCCACACAGTTCTGTACATGCTTTTAATGAACAGATCTGTTCATATTAATTCAACCTATTTTTCAAATAAAACTGGTGCATAAAAATAAAATTTGTCCAGTAAAACTACATTACCTATGATGCTGTACAGAAAGTCAAATCAAGCAAAGCACCTGGGGTTATCTGAATTTAGAAGATAAAAAAGTACAGTATACAATATGTTGTATACTGTTTTGTACCCCCAAAAATTGTCTGACTTCTCTAATAAAACACCATTTTTTAAATGCTGTTTTACTTTAAACTCTAAAAATAGAAGTCTTAAACTAATGTGTAAGGTCCAAACACACTGAAGATTACCTAATAGGTTGTTAATATTTAAAATGATAAGCTATTTCCCCAAAAAGCAGTTTATTTAGCATAGCAAAGCACTCTCTATTGACATAGATAAAATAAATTGCCTCTTGTCTCCTTAAGTGCATACTGCAAAAATGGAGCATTTGCTTTCACCATTAGGCTTTTTGGCAAAAGCTTGCAGGTCTGCCTTCCAAAGACTTTAAATGTGCACCAAATTTTTTTTAGCTCCGCCCACTCAGCAATTATATAATTGAGATGGTGCAATGCAAGCATGTTCCATTCATTTTATTTTATTAAAACGAAATGATATAAAACAAATGTATTATTAATTTAAAACAATGTAGAATTCTTAAATATGATATGTATAATTTGATTATGTTACTTATTATTGTCTACCATATTGTTAAACTTATTTTCAACTCTGTTAGTGGTTTCTAGAGTTGACATTATCCACCATTTTGTGCTGGAGCTCAAAATTCCAACCTCAAACCAGACACCACAGACAATGAGAAATTCATTGAAATATTCTAATAACAGAGTTGACAAATAATTAGCCTAATATTGGTGTATTCTAAACATTAAGTACAAATTAATAAGAATATTGACATGCCTAAATGCTTTCCTGCCAGAAGAAGTGACATCTTGGAGCAGGTCATGCTTTTTCTGTCAGTGATTTAGAGAACGGTATGACTTTTTATCACAGATGTAACAGAGTTGACCATAACTATTATTATTTATTATTATTATTATTAAAATTACAAATAATTCTGAAAATAGATGTTTTACACAAATGTAAAAATGATAAAAATAGACTTGTTTATTTTATGATATGAATTAATGAATTAAACCTGAATTTATGTTTCAGGAGACAGAGACAGTCCAAAATAGGGATGTTTTAATGGAATATATTAAAGACAAAATAATCCTAAATGTACACACAAACATTACTTTAGTGATAACATATTAGAACTGCTAAATTAAAGGCTCTGTGTGTAAGTTTTTTTTAAAAATACCATAATATGTTTGCAAATATTTAAGAAACATGCTAAGTGAACATACTTGTTAATCTGAAAAACGATACTGAAGTCAGATATTCTGCTTTGAATATAGGCGTTACGTGCTAGAATGTCTTTGTTTTGGGTTTTTTAACCCGCCCACTGCCTTTTTAGCCAATTTCAGCACTTCAAGTTGCCTTGTTGGAAAAACTTGTTTTTCATTCATTCAGTCTGGAAGACTCTCAAAGCATGCATCCATGACTGAAATGCAACCTCCGGTGGAAAGTAGCAGAATCCAAAATGAGACGCAGATTCAGAGTTCCACATGATTTTATTAATTAGCAAATAATATATATATATTACAAATTTAAACATTAAGTGAGCAGGTTACATTGTAACTGCGTGTCCTAACACACGCTATATATGTGGGGAGATTTGCAGTGATAAGCAATTTGGCTGTTTGCACAAGACGAAACACGACAGAAATTTAAATACAGCCATTCAGAAGCACAGAATATGCACTCACTGCACTATAACGTAATGGTAAGGTTTATAATCTATTTAATACATATTAAACCTCTATAACATTATTAAATGTACATGCTGAATCACTGATATGTGTTGGTTTTGGGTCACAGTTCCAAAAAATGTCATTTTCAAGAACTGCTGCTTTCAGTAGTATGGCAATACATGTCATATAAAATGGCATTCAAACTCGCATTGTTGGCATTTATTACTGAATAAAGCACATGAGTACCTTAGGTAATCTTTGCCAAAGTTTTCTGTCGTTCAGCTGCAAGAAATAGGAGCCATTTCTAAAATAGAAATTTGAGGTGTTGGTTAGAACAAAAACTACTTTTAATATGAAAAAAATTCTTCTATCATGTGCCATTGCTTTTATTTAGAACACTCCTGGGGTCCATTCTTTGTACCTCACTTAAATGATCTAAGATGAATTGGCTGATCCTGGATTTGTTCATCTTGATAACTGATCTCTTCAAACAAGTTTGCGAATCAAATTAAAATGTCTGGATAACTGATCTGACATCGCTGTGTGTGTTGTGAAGGACAGATCTATTGTTCCTCGAAATCATGATCAGCAATGCAACGATTGGCTGACGGCACAGCAGCGTAATGACATCATCTGATTAATATTCAATTATCCATGTGAGCAGATTACATCAAATTAGCAGTAAACGGTTTGTTAAATATGACACGCAATAACTTTACACTTTTGTTGTGAGCTGCAGGCTTTACTCTTTCAAGTATCAAGAGTATTCATCATGTATTTCAATGCATATCATTATTTAGTTCTACATTTAGAAAAAAAATCTTTATTAAAGTAGGCTAGGCCTACTAAAGTTCTTTTAATCAGCGTAAGGAATAACTGTATAAATTAATTTTGCATCAAAAAACATTTTGATATCGGTAAAGGTATCAATCACCAGCATATTAGCATGACTGCATAAATTATTATGCTCTTTTTAAAAAGTCGAATATTGTGCATGTACGCGTTTACTTCCAAAAAGTTAATATCAATAAATGTTCTATTTGAACCACCAGGTGACTGTCTTTTTACTTTTATTTCGGAGTGCAGATTACATACATATTAATATATATTTTTTAAATTTGTTTATTTGAAATAAAAAGTTTAAACCTGTTTATATGAAATGAACCCACTCTAACGCAGGTTTGAGCTACCAGACCTGTTACTATAACAACAAATATCAGAAGAGTTTTGAAGAACGAAACCATCCTGGGTTGTGTCAAATCGTCAATATTCAAATCCAGCTAATTGAGTAATCCACGTACATAGAACAGACCCCTGATGGTCATCAATCTGGCAACCTGCACTTGCGTGTGTTTTCATCCAAGAATGCAATACATAGTTCAACCGTTGGGTGTCAAACTTGCATACTGTACCTTTAAAGTTTTTTTAAATAATAACTTGGAGATGCAAAATGTACCTGCAGTTCTAGAATCTCCTATGTGGGTGGGTGGGTGTGTAAGTGTATAGACACAGCCAACAATTTTAATTTGTCATTCACAATACTTTTAGTATTACACAGTTTAAGTATTACATAGTATAGTAGTACATAATACTAATAGTATTTACTGTAGTACTTTAGTTTATTAGACAGGTTTTATCATATATACTAACATATTGTTGTAGTTTTTCGTTATTAAAGCTGTGATGTACAGTCTTGTAACTTTTCTTTTTGTCTAATTTCAATATCCTTCTTTAAATGAAAGTTTTTAAAATGTGGATAAACACTTATGCACCGTTGCAAGTTGTGATTAACTATAGCATGTTACTAAGCTAAAGTACAACTTTTACAAGTAAATATGCCTTTCCTATTCTAATTATAAAAGTAATATTCTATTTAAATGATATACACACATTGGTGACCAAGCTTTAATCATTGTAAATGACACTTAGAAACATTTGTTTTGTGCAGGTCACTGATATGATGCAGAAAGCTCTTTTTGACTTCTTAAAACACCGGTTTGATGGCAGGTGAGTTACATAAGGGGTTTAAATAGCTAAAAAAAAGACTCATTTGCTGTAAACAATGCTGACTACAGATGTTTTTATGTTCCTAGGATAACTATCACACGTGTGACAGCAGACATCTCACTGGCGAAGAGATCAGTGCTTAACAATCCCAGCAAGAGAGCCATTATTGAGCGCTCAAACACCAGATCCAGCCTTGGTAAGACACAGAGAGCCAGAACACCTCATAATCGCTTATTAAAGAAATAATCCTGGTTAAACTCAATTCAAGTCCTGTCAACAAAATCTGACACATGTAATCAGTTAACAGAAAATATATTTGTTGTGCAAGTAATGCAATTGAAATAGTTTTTTTATTAGCTGAATGTTAACCCTATAAACAATGTTTTTAATTGCATCTTTTTCTGATATTCTTGCACTGTAAGAAAATGCTGGGTCATTTCAGACCAAATTGGGTAAAATATGGACAGAGCCAAACTTTGTTAAAAATTTGACGCTGTACATTTAATGTAAAAAAGCAGTTGTTTCATAACTAAAATTGGGTTGAAATAGCCCAGCATTCTTAGAATGTACCAGAATATCTAGTAAAAGTCACACTGTTTTAAAAATAATAATGGTGACACCTTAAAAACAGCCTCACACTTTCATTTTCATTTAGTTTAGTACAATATTATTAAAAACAAGAACTCAGAAATAAATCTAAATATTTTTCTGTGGTAAATTATAGTGTCCATTCAGTACTGGACAGGAGCTTTTCATTAGCAATATCACCCTCGTAGCAGTGTGATGTGGCTGTATATTGGCACTAGTGGGAGACGTGCAATGTCTCTGGTGGGACATGGCTTAGTGTCCCACCGGTGACAATACACAGTCGCATCGCACGGCTACAAGTGTAATATTGCATTTATACAACAGTTCGATGGCAAAATCGTGTGTATAAAAAAGAAAATCAAACACGGAGAGTCTAAAATGGTTTTGTAAGAGGAACTACTTTCTTCCGTCATTCATTCACATCTGCAGCTGATGTCAGAACAGCAGAAACCGTTACTAATTCACCAACGTCACTTTAGAACTAGTTTTTAAATGATTCTCTAGCATAATGTCTAAAGTGATGACAAAACAGGTGATTTCAAACTGTAGTGTCTCTCTGCTTGTTTCTGGCTGTATGTGGGCGGAGTAATACACAACGGCTAAAGAGGCTGTACAGGTGCTGATATTACTTAAATATCTCACGGCTATCAGCCAATCAGATTCGAGAACCTGACAGAACTGTTGTTTATATATATATATATATATATATATATATATATATATATATATATATATATATATATATATGAATAATAATAATAGACAAAAACACACACTCACAAAATTATATATATCATTTTAATTTATTTATTAGTGTTTTTTGTTGATTTTTGACAATATGTAACATTTTTAATATTTGAGAAGTTTTTATATTTTTGTAGTATTTTTGATTTATAATTAGAAATAGCATTTTCAGCTAAACAAACTAGGATGGTTTACCTCCATCCTTTTTGCTTATAAAATATACATTACATTAGATTATAGATATTTTTCATTGCAAACGTAAGCTATTTTCTGCAAGCTTGCAAAACTTTATGTTTTATCATTTGGGGATTAAATGTTACAGAAAAAAAACAATAAATTGTAAAACTACTGTTTTCCACTGCTAATAGTGTTTATTATGACAGTAAATTAATACCAGTGTGCACTCTAATGCACTGCTTCTGTACTGCTAGACAAACACTGGAAGACTCTCACATTTAAGTTGCAAGTGGGCCGCTCTTATATTAAAAATAAAGTGGACACTAACTTTAAATCATCTTTTAGTATAGCTTAGCTAATTTCTAAAAAATTTCTGCAGATAATTTTGCTGCTTAGTGAACTCTATGTTGAGTAGCATGTCCAACATATAATATATCCCTTTAACATTACCATACACAAATGTCAAGTCCTGATTGTTTTTGTTCTATTAGTGTGCTAACTGTAATCTAGTGTCTCTCACTCTCTGTTTGATATACATGTACAGCTGAGGTACAGAGTGAGATTGAGCGTATATTTGAACTAGCTCGATCGCTCCAGCTGGTAGTGTTGGACGCAGACACCATCAACCATCCTGCTCAGCTGATGAAGACTTCACTAGCACCCATTATCGTCCATGTCAAAGTGTCCTCGCCGAAGGTGCGACAGTCCTGTGTCATTGTTTTAGTGTTTCCAACTTCAGTGTTCTTGCTGTTTAACCGATGTTTCTATCCTACAGGTCCTCCAGAGGCTCATCAAGTCCAGAGGAAAGTCGCAGAGTAAACACCTCAACGTACAGCTCGTAGCGGCTGACAAACTAGCGCAGTGTCCTCCGGTGTGTCAGCACTTACAACATACATGTAGACGTATGAATCAATGAATCAATATATCACGGCCACCAATATGTACAGTATTGATTTTGTGGGAGTTTTAAAATATGGTGATTAAATCTTTTTTTTTTTATTTCAACGTTTATGGACCGTTCACATATCGCATCTTTATTGTGTGCAAGTTTGTTATTTCCAATGTTTGCGCAACATGCTTTCATTTTCCTGGCACACCTAGTTGAAAACATCTCAACTTTTCAGAATGCCTCAAATGCACCACGAGTCACGTGACAAGATCTAACCGATCAGCTTCATACTTTGTATAGAATATACACATTTCAGACACCGAACACCCAAACACTACAGTGCTTTTTATTTTTTTACATAAATAAAACTAGTATCAGAGCTGCAGCAATGGTTTGTTAGTTTGTCATCTTCCATAGTTTGTGAGCAAACGGTTGATGGTCACCTATTGCAACGACAGATGACAAAGGTAGCACAAAGTGTATTGAAAAAGGTGTAGGAAGCGATGCGCTTGCGCATTGCACATGCTTTTAGACACGATATGTGAACGGCCCCTTTGAGTGCCTTTTAAGAATAATTAGTTTGTTGTATAAGTGGTTGCTCAAAACAGTACCAAATGCGTAAATACTAGTGCAGTCAAAAGATAAATCGTACTTAATCGCATCCAAAATAAAAGCCTGTTACAGCACTAGCATTTACATTTATATACACACAATAAATGGCGACGCATTGGCGCAGTAGGTAGTGCTGTCGCCTCACAGCAAGAAGGCCGCTGTTTTAAGCCTCGGCTGGCTCAGTTGGAGTTTCTGTGTGGAGTTTGCATGTTCTCCCTGCATTCACGTGGGTTTTCTCCGGGTGCTCTGGTTTCCCCCACAGTCCAAAGACATGCAGTACAGGTGAATTGGGTTGGCTAAAATTGTCCATAGTGTATGAGTGTGAATGAGTGTTTATGGATGTTTCCCAGAGATGGGTTGCAGCTGGAAGGGCATCCACTGCGTAAAACATTTGCTGGATAAGTTGCTGGTTCATTCCGCTGTGTAACGGATTAATAAAGAGACTAACCCGAAAAGAAAATGATTGAATGAATGAATGAATGAATGAATGAATATACATAATAAATATGCAAAATACACAGAGAGTGTGTGTGAATGTGTGTGTGTGTGTGTGTGTGTGTGTATATATATATATACTATGTGCGAACGCAGTTTGACAGCATAATTGTGTATATAAAAACAAAATCAAACATGTAGAGTCTCAAAAACCCTTTTGTATGAGGAACTACTTTCTTCCGCATTGGATTCAAATCATAAGCTGACAGTTAAACAGCTGAGCAAGCATCTTTTAAACTTTAGATCTGTAGGGTCTGCTATTTGCTGGCTGTATGTGGGAGGAGTAATACACAAAGGGTAAAGAGGCTGTACGGGTGCTGATATGGCTTAAATACATCACAGCTATCAGCCAATCAGATTCGAGAACCAGACAGAACTGTTGTATAAATATTTATATATTCACACACACACACACACACTACCAGTGAAACTACCTGTTTGGGGTCAGTGGGATTTTTAAATGTTTTAAAGCTTCTCCTGCTCTCCTGCCAGCAGCTAGCTAGCAACTCTCACATGGTCGCCCACTGAAGCTAAGCAGGGCTGCGCCGGGTCAGTACCTGGATGGGAGACCAAATGGGAAAGCTAGGTTGCTGCCGGAAGTGGTGTTAGTGAGGCCAGCCGGGGGTGCCCAACCTGTGGTCTGTGTGGGTCCTAATGCCCCAGTATAATGACGGGGACTCTATACTGCTCAGTGAGCGCCGTTTTTCGGATGAGATGTTAAACCGAGGGCCTGACTCTCTGTGGTCGTTAAAAATCCCAGGATGTCATTCGAAAAGAGTAGGGGTTTAACCCCGGCATCCTGGCCAATTCTGCCTACTGGCCTCTGTCCATCATGGCCTTCTAACCCTCCCCATATCATAATTGGCTTCATCACTCTGACTCCTCTCCGCCAATCAGCTGGTGTGTGGTGTGCTGTCCGGCTCAAAATGGCTGCCGTCGTGGGGAGATTCCCCCCTATGTGTAAAGCACTTTCAGTGCCCAGAAGAGCACTATATAAATGTAAAGAAATATTATAATTTATTATTATTACCATGGCTTCATTTACTTCATCAAAAATACAGTAAAAATTGTGAAAAGTTATTGCACTATAAAATAACTGTTCAAAAACAGTTTTAAATTAATTTTATCATTTATTCAAGTGATTCTAAAAATACATTTTCAGCTTTATTACTCCAGTCTTCAGAGTCACATGATCCTTCAGAAATCACTCTAATAATAAGAATAATAATAATAATAATAATAATAATTATTATTATTATTATTATTATTCTTATTCTTATTATTCTTATTCTTATTCTTATTCTTATTCTTATTCTTATTCTTATTATTATTATTATTATTATTAATGGAAATGAAAGCAATAAATAATAAAATATAGTGACTGGAGCAATAATTTCACTTGAGTCTACAAACAATAAAAAAGCAGTTATTTAAAATTTACATAAATATATAAGAATTATTTTCATTTAAAAAAATAAATTTAATTCAATTTAATTTTAATCATTATAAATTTGACATGTTTGACGTGACTTTTTGTAGGTCTTTTGTTCGTTACCTCTACACAATACGGTTCATTTTAAGTGATGTTAATTTCGTATATAATGCAAAGCAACACATTCAAATCAAAATACATAATAATTTTATTAAATGAAGATAATAACTAATAAAAATCTGTTGTGTTAAATTAGCTTAATTTTTTTATTTTATTTTTGCCTTTGTCCCTTTATAAATCCGGTGTCACCACAACGGAATGAACCACCAACTTATCAGATTAAAGAATAAGGTTAATACTGTCTTAATTCTCCTTATTGACCTTATTCTTCAATCTGTAAGTGCGTTTGTTTTTGAGATTTCTAAAACTTCCGATTCAGTTGCCTATGGGAGAAATGAGTGGGAATATTAAACGGCAGAAAACGGTCAAACTACTTGCTCTACAAACAAGTGTTCATGACTATAAATAAAAAGTAGAATAATATAATAAGAAATTATCAGTTTGCAAGATCAAGCATCATAATGAGCCGTTATTAATGTCTAAAATTCAGTGGAAGTGAATAGTACCAGATGTCTTGAGCCAAAAAGATTTCATTTGTGCATGAAGAAGGTCAGTACCATGATAAATGCTTCATTAATTAATCGCAACAAGAAAATTTGATACCGACAGAAGCCTACAGACAAACATAAACACACATCTAGAAGGAAGTTCCAGTAATGACTCCAGTTTCATGAAGACAGTCTGTTTTTCAGTGCACTAATGGACGTCATGTCTGTGTGCATGTGTTTATTCCTCATTAACAGGAGATGTTTGATATTATCTTGGATGAGAATCAGTTGGAAGACGCCTGCGAGCATTTGGCGGAGTATCTGGAGGCATACTGGAAGGCCACACACACCTCCAGCAGTACCCCGCTCAACCCGCTGCTGGGCAGAAACCTTGGCCCAGCTGCCCTCGCCCCGTACACTACATCTGCCATATCTGGCTTGCAGGTGTGTAATCATATTAATTATTTAAACACTATCAAATATGTTTTCATGAATTTACAATGGCCTGTTTCCACATGATTGCAAAACTGCTAGCCTGACGTCTCTGGGCTATTATGTTTTCCCTTCGGGCTACCAAAAATGTATCCACCCTGCCCGTCAAGCTATGTTAATGCGAGGGGAGATTTAGCCTGTTTCAACTCTTTTGCATATTCTCATTAATTGTGTAATTTTGTTGTATGTAATTTGTATGCATTGAGGAGCCACTATCAATATATGTTTGAATTGGCGTTTGCATTAACTGATGTTGTCAACAGAGTTAGGGGTAATGCGTTACGAAAAAATATTACTTTTCCAAAGTAACGTGTAATATAACACATTACTTTTAAAAAGAATTAAAATTATTTGAGTTACTTTTTAAAAAATGTAACGCGAGTATATATTGCGGAATAAAAAACAATTTAGTCAGGTTGAATCACACACTTAATGAGAGAGCATGCTATGAGGGAATAGACAGTCGAGTCATCGTCACACTCAGGCCCGGATTAAGAACTCAGGGGCGCATTATCTACTCCGCCGCACCCATATAGTTGAATTAAAAAAAAAAAGAATAATATAATAATTTTACATTAAAATGAATCTATAAATTATATATATATATATATATATATATATATATATATATATATATATATATATATATATATATATATATATATATATATATATATATATATTTTTTTTTTTTTTTTTTTTTTTTTTTTTTTAAGGACATTTTTAATGTATAACTTTTAGAAACATTTAAAGCCTTTTAATGGCATGGCATAAAACACACAATGCCTCTCCAATCTAGTTCTATGAATCTGAGTCTTTCATAATACACACACTTATTAATGATTTACTGTCTCTCTCCCCCCTCCCTGTATTTTCTCTACTCTCCTCGCGATGAAGAGTTGGCAAACAGCATAAATCAACTTGATTATAAAACATATTGCTGTTACACATATGAAATAGGCTAACGTTAAACAGTATTAAATACCCATGAGGCACTTGTGACTTTATATCGCAATTGCATTATTTAAAAAAAAATGTTTCTTTCCTTTTAAAAATAATTATATTTATGTAATGGGGAGAGAAAAAGTAGCACGAGTTCAGCAGATGGTGTATTCGAACCACGTCAAAACATGATGCTGTGTGCTTTACGAGATACGCCACTCACGCTGTAACCTGCTACGCTCTTCACTCACGTTGTCTCTGTCAATCAGGCATTGATTGGCGTTAACCATGAATAGCTATTTCCAACTAGGTGCGCTATTTGCACACTCCGAAATTGGCGTTTTTTCCTCCCCTCACAGGGGCCCTAAGTGCGTACGGGCCCCTGGGCCTGTGCCCATAAGGCCCATTGGTTAATCTGGCCCTTGTCACACTCATCATCAGTTTTCTTTTTTCACAGCAGATGAGTCAGTGTACTGTTTTAGTAACTGAATAACTCAGGATATTGGTTTATTTCAAGTCAGAGGGGGTATATCCAATATGTTAGTACTTACTGAAGAGGCAAACCGTTTCATGACAACTCCGTTAAATTTAATGAACTGGTTTGATCGGTTTACTAAAGATCTGGTTAAATAAAACGATTCATTCGCTAATCGCTTTTTTATTTCAAATAACAAAAAATAAAATCACCAGAAATGAAAAATGAATAAAAGCTTGTTTTTTTATATATTCTGAAACCACACAGCCCGACTCATTTACAGTGACACAGTGCTGTATTATGTAGCCTATTATTTTTTCATCCTTAAGGTTATAAAAGGCATTTTGTTGTTATAACTGGATTTTGTTAAGACAAATGTTCCTCATTAAGACAACATTTCTCATATAAGGGCCAGTTATAGGCTACATATTTATTTTCATTTTGACATGCGTTGCCTTACTGAACACTTTTCTAAAAAGAAAGTTTTAATATTGTTAAAACCATAATACTTCCACTTCCCGAAGTTTTACCACGATCATAATATTTTTATTTTTATTTATTTATTTTTATTACATAACTATAACATGGAGAGATGAGCAATGATTCCAAACTATTGCCAATGTTAGTGTCACTCCTGAAGTGGAAGTGATTTTTGCAATAAACTTTGTTTTCAGAAAACTGTTCAGCATTGCAAATAATGCATATATCCTCAATTATGTTGTTCCATATAACCGGCTTCAATAAGAAAAATATGTATTAACAAAAGCCTGTTATCACAAAAAAAATATTTTAGAACATTATTAAGTGCAAAAAAATAATAGCCTGTGTGTGGCAGCATTGTGTCACCGTAAATGAGTCGGCCTGTCTGGTTTCACATTGAATTTTCATTTTTTGAAAATAAAATGAAAAAACGACTAATTTCTGTCTTTTAATATCTGTTTCTAAAATGAAAATCAAATGACAAAAAGATTCACTGACCTAGAAGCCACTAAGTTTTGTGATATAGTACGATTTTTTTCTCTTTTGGGAAACTATTTACACACTTGTTAAGGCCACGTGAAGAAATTTGTTCAATGTATAAAGCTCAAAGATTTATTTTGATTTGGGAATGATTTTTATCATCCTACTATTCATTTTGTTATTAAACATTTTAAAGGTTTAAAATCTGTTTTTGCCTTATAAATAATTTCATGTTTGTACTCTTAGGCTTTTTTTGCAGTCTTTATCTCATTGGACAGTGAGTTTACTTAACTAATAACACAAAACATACAAAAGTAACAAATGCATTACTTCACATGCTTTCATTAATCGGTATATACAGCATGTATAGCTCTGGGCTCAGAAAGTTCTCAAGATATAATTTTATCCTACACTTTTTAAAGGAAAATGAAGGTGTAGGTTCTATAGGTGGCTGTTAAATGCAGAGCTTCTCGATAAAAAAGGTGAAAAAACACCTGCAAGTTCTGAAAGAGATTAAACCTCAGTCGATTAAGGAAAAGTAACGCAAAAGTAACTCAAAAGTGATATAATGCATTACTTTCCAAAAAAAGTAACACAATTTCATTTCTATTTTTGTACCCCTACCTCTTCCCCTTCCCATTGGTCCTTAAAACCGAGTGTGAAGGGGAAGGGCTTCAAATTTTACCTCTAAGAAATGGGACAGCACTTCAACACCTGCAAACGTCCTCATATGTCATTGTGAGCACTTGCTTCATATGAGATCAGACGATCGCACTGGCTGTGGTTATTCCAGTTGTTATTTTTTGGTATTTATCTTCAGGAAATCACTGAAGGCAAATATTATGTTATCATAATGATCTAATGCTACCATCATGCTCTAAAAACCATTATGGTAAAACACGAACATGGTTAAGAATATATTAAAACATGTGCTTGTTCAATGTAAAAAAAATCCTAATAATGACAAAAAATAATAATTTGTGAATCTCCTTACTTCCGGGTTCTGCGATCCTGCTGTTGTGGCTATAGTATTCTGGGAATTTTGAGTGAGGTCCTGAAAAATATTTGTTTGAAGTTCTATCTACTCCTTCCACTTAGCCTTACGCCTTCAAGCTAAAGAGAATTGGGACACCCCTTCAGAAAATGCACAAAATGATAGTTAGGGGTAAGGGCAAGGGCTAAGGGGTAGAATTAGGATTGGGCCTTAGTTACTTTTTTGGGAGATGAACTCAGTATTGTAATGCACTACTTTTCAAAGTTACTTTCCCCAACACTGCTTGTCAAAAGATTAAAATTTGGAGAGAAAAAAAAACTATAACAGTAAGTCTCCTATAGTTAATATCATCATAACTTTTTTATTTAATAAATGTATGTAATTCATTTTATTTAATAAATATCTTTTCTTCTAAAAACTGAACTGACTTGCCCAAAAGGCTTACTTTTACACTGCACTTTTCACCCCATAGACATCCATTCATATGCAAGCAAATTGTGCAGACTGGAAACACAAGCTTGTGTTTCACATGATGCTGTGTTCAAATGTTCATGCTTGGTGAACTCTGACCTGCAAAAACCCATCATATGATTCCGTGAGACCAATAGAGGATCAAAATGTAACATCTCTGTACAGAAGTTTTAAATATGGAGCAATTGCTTTATCAACGCATAACCAACTTCATCTATGTCTTATTAACAAGCTTAAACTCTAGTGTGACTGCAGCTTAAGAATTTAGAAATTTTGTGAGCCCTGTGATTATTCATTTGACGAGAAGAGATCAGATGAAGAACCTATGACTATTTCTATCGGCTGGCCTGGGAACACCTCGGGATCTCCCTTAGGAGCTGGAAGAAGTGTCTGGCAGGAGGGAAGTCTGGGGTTCTCTCCTAAGACTGCTGCCTCCGCGAACCAGCCCCGCAAAAGCAGTAGAAAATGAATGAATGAATGAATTAATAAATGAATGAATGAAATAATTAATGATTTCTTGTGTGGCCCGGTACCAATTGATCCCAGTGGTTGAGGATCACTGGTCTAACTCAAATCCTGCTGTGTGTAAACAAAAATATTAATGTTTACTCTTATTTTCTACTTGTTCATCAGAATCAACAGGGGCAAAAAACACGGCACGCCAACCACACCGGGGACCACTCCACCCCCAATGAACGGCGCAACTTGATGACCTCAGACGAGAACTACCACAACGAACGGGCGCACAAGGGACGAAACCGGGGCTCCTCTGGCTCGCAGCACGGTGGCAGCGGTAGAGACCACCACTACATGGAGGAGCAGCAGGGCTACCAGGACCCCTACCAGGACACCTACAAGCCCCACCGCAACCGCAGTTCCCCGGGCAGCTACAGCCAGGACTCACGACACCGGCTCTGAGAAGCTCCGGCCCGTGTCCTCCTCCAAGCCTGAGCCACCGAGCCAAGATGGCTTCTGTCCAGAATTGTACACATCTTCCATTTGGTTTTCGTTTCATTAGGGTCTCCTGAGCTACAAAGCAGAAACTTTGTTTTTAACCCCTCCCGAACCTGTACCATCTGACCGAAGCCTGCACATCCACAAGCTTAACACAAGGCTCTCTGGGAAAAGGAGACCATTCGACATGCAATGCAGCAGAAACTTGACACTTGTTATGTTTTCACTTGTTAATATGCTTGTTGATTTTTGGTTTGGTCAATTCTGTTGCAAAAGGGCAGGTTTTCCTTCTACCAAGCAGCTGTTTTACTTTCAGATGGAATGGAATGATTGCTTGGCCCTAAAAAGCGAACGTTCTGTGAAGCTAGATTCAGCAGAGAATCAGAAAGTATATACTGAATAAGGAGCTCATTTAGTCTTTGTTTGCCAGCATGTTACCTGACCGCATGCTTCCCCCTGTCATTAGTGCATAACTTGAGCGGAAAGACCAGAAGATGACGCGCTGTGATCATTGCCCCAAGAAAAATGGCTGCCAAACTGGAACATTTCAATCCTAACGTAACACAAACCTACTGCCAGCTGTCTTTTGTTACAGAAATGGAATCTTAATACCTTGATCTTGGAGTTTTCCGATCTCATGCGACTGAATTTCCACATTATTTGAGCAGTAAATAGCAGGAATCCTAGATTCAGCCACTTTAGCATGATGCACTGCATTCTAGCACTCATTCGTTCTTTTTCTAGTTAGGAAGACAGCTTAAAGAGAACATTGGAATGCTGAACTAAAGTGTCGCCGTGATCTAGTCCTCAGTAGAGTTAGCAAGCGTTCACAAGATTCATTTTCATTTGAAAGCTGAAATTGGAGCATTTGGGTAATTAGTTTACTTAAAAAAAGAGCATTTTCCTAAATGTAACTCTGGGATGGACAGGTTTATTTGAATCTTTGGAAGATGACTGGCTGCCTGTGCTCCACCCTGCCAACCGAGGCCAACGCCGTCCGGTCTACTTCAGTAGATACACAGTGCCCTCCTCAGTGGCTCAAATGCTACAGACTCAACCCACCAAGTTGTCGTTCTTCTGCTCGTATGTTTTCAGCGTAAATAGGACAGTCCGAGGACAAGTAGATCCTCAAAAAGTGGAAGCTTTCAGACCCAAGGCCTTGGCACACCATGGATTTCCTCGCCTGCATATTCCTGCCTTATTGATTTATGCTAGTTTGTGCATTTTCAGAAGAATACATTTAAAAGAAAAAACAAACTGAGGACCGCATTCTGTATGCATTTGTCTATGAGCATGCTTCTCTGTTAATTATATAATGAGGATGAATGAACATGAGGAATCTGGCAGTCGATGCCCATTTGACTAAATGAAAAGAAGAAGAAAAACTCATCTCTGAATTTGCTGCCTGAGACAATCAGATGGAACTTCTCTGTAAAACCGGAACGTTGTTCATCCCTTTCCCGTCATCCCGCTCTCTTTCCCGTTTCACAGCAGCTTCATCTGAGCTCCAGATTAAAAGAATAAAAATGTGTCCATTCTTTTCCTTTTTTTGTGAAAATTAAAGATGGAAATGCAAAACTGCATGCATATCATTTTAATTTATTACAAATTTGACAGAAAACTAATGTTTTATGGAATATAATTGTGTAAAAGGCAAATCTAGCAGTATTTCAGTTCTTTTACAAAAAAGAAAAGAAGAAAAAATAAATGGTCATTTTGAAACTTGGTTGTACGTCTTCATTCATCAGAGATTTCTGGAGTCATCTGTGAATTTGGAAAAGTTAATGCATGTAAACTTCTGCAAGATTTGAAACAGAAATTTCAGTTCACATCATTTATTCATTCATTTTCGTTTTTGGCTTAGTCCCTATGTCAATCAAAGGTCACCACAACGGAATGAACCGCCAACTTATCCAGCATATGTTTACGCAGCAGATGCCCTTCCAACTGCAACCCATCACTTGGAAACACCATACACACTCATTCACACACGTACACTACAGACAATTACTCAATTCACCTACAGCGGTAGGACTGGTAGGGGAAACTGGAGCACCAGAAGGAAACCAACACAGGGAGAACATGCAACACAGAAATCCAGCCGATGCTCAAAACAGCAGCCTTCTTGCTGAGGTGACAGCGCTACCCACTGCGCCGCCACCCCTAAATAGGTGTTTAGAAAGTAAATTCAATTTGAATGTTCATTTATTCATTTTGTTGTCAGCTTACTTAACTTTATTAGTATGGGGTCGCCACAGTGGAATGAACTGGCAACTTATCCAGCATATGTTTTACGCAGCGGATGGGAAACACCCATACACTCCCATTCACACACACTGCATCAATTCACATAAACAGCATGTCTTTGGACTTGTGAGGGAAACCGGAGCACCTGGAGGAAACTTATGCAAACTCCACACAGAAATGCCAACTGACCCTGCCCAGGGTCGAAAGAGTGACCTACTTGCTGTGAGGTGATCGTGCTACCCACTGCGCCACCGTGACAGCCCTTGATTTGAATGTTAACTAAAACTACACGATCACAGTAATAGGAGTATTTGTAATTAGTTACTTTACACCACTGATCATTACTTTAAGAAATGAAGGTCAGTCAGTCCGAAAAATTGGAAAATCTTTAAAAGTGTCCTCAAGTGCACACAAAAACCATCAAGTGATACAAAGAAGCTGGCTCACATGCGGACCGCCCCAGGAAAGGAAGACCAAAAGTCACCTCTGCTGTGGAGGATAAGTTCATCCGTCACCAGCCACAGAAATCGCAGGTTAACAGTAGATCAGATTAGAGACCAGGTCAATGCCACACAGAGTTCTAGCAGCAGACACATCTCTAGAACAACTGTTAAGAGGAGACTGTGTGAATCAGGCCTTCATGGTAGAAAATCTGCTAGGAAACCACTGCAACAAGCAGAAGAGACTTTGGGCTAAAAAAACTCAAGTAATAGGCATTAGACCAGTGGAAATCTGTGCTTTGGTCTGATGAGTCCAAATTTGAGATCTTTAATTCCAACTAATCTCCAACTGTCTTTTTGCGATGCAGAAAAGGTGAACGGATGGACTCTTCACGCCTGGTTTCCACCGTAAGGCATGGAGGAGGAGGTGTGATGGTGTAGGGGTGCTTTGCTGTTGATACTGTTGGGGATTTAATCAAAATTGAAGGCATGCTGAACCAGCATGGCTACCACAGCATCTTGTAGCGGCATGTTATTCCATCTGGTTTGCATTTAGTTGGACCATCATTTATTTTTCAACAGGACAATGACCCCAAACACACCTCCAGGGTGATGGGGTGCTGCTCCAGATGGCCTGGCCTCCACAGTCACCGGACCTGAACCCAATTGAGATGATTTGGGGTGAGCTGGACTGCAGATGGAAGGCAAAAGGGCCAACATGTACTAAGCATCTCTAGGAACTCCCTCAAGACTGTTGGAAGACCATTTCAGGTAACTACCTCTTGAAGCTCATCTAGAGAATGACAAGAGTGTGCAAAGCAGTAATCGAAGCAAAAGATGGCTACTTTGAAGAACCTACAATATGACATTTTCAGTTGTTTCACACTATTTTTTGTAATAATAAATGTGTTATGAAATAAAGTTTTAACAGTTTTTCATGCGAGAATGTTGTTGTTTTAAACTCAAGTCTGTGGTTTATTTATTAAGATAATACGTATTTTAAAATGTTGTTTTGAAAATGCGGAGATATGTGACCTCTACGGTGGCCCATATGGGTGCCCAATATTCTTGAATCCGTCTAAAGCAGGTTGGTCACTCTGACATTTAAGCTGACTTTGAAATCATTTTGTGTGTTTAACAGTCTTTGGTTACGTGAATCAATTATTTTTGTTCCAATTTACGTTTTGGTTAAGCACAAAGTTATGTTTATTAAATATTATTTAATATTTCCATGTTACCTTATAAAATGAAGGTGCAGTGCACCCAAAAATGGAAAACAACGGGACAGTTTAATGCACTGAACAGTCTGAAGAAACTGGTTAGGTTATTTACTTCACAAAATAATTTGTCTAAAAATAAATAAACATAATAATCATATAGTGTGTGTGGAGTTGTTCTTGGTTAATTGCAGTACTGTATTTAGATGCACAGTAACTGATTTTTCCCCAAAATTCATTATGAAATCTACAGTAACATACTGTTAACCATGTTCACAGTATAGAAAAGTTGAAAATACATTATTATACTGTGAAAACAACAATATATACAGTAATACACTGTGCACAACTTATACAGTAAACAACTGTTGAGAAATGCAGTATAATACTGTGAAAACAACAGAACTCATTTACAGTGTATATAACTCCACATGTGTTCATTCATAGTTTTGATGCCTTCAGTGTGAATCTACAATTTTCATAGTCATGAAAATAAAGAAAACTCTTTGAAGGAGAAGGTGTGTCCAAACTTTTGGTCTGCACTGTATGTGTATATATACATATACATGACGTATAATACAGTTTACTATAGTGTGGTTCAAATGTATTTCATGTGTTTTTATGCGTATATTAAAATAATGTTTACATGTTTAGGCCTATGATAGGGAAAAAAATCTTTGTCCGAGCTTTTGACAGAAAATGTACAAGTTCTCACTAAAATGCAATTCCTGTTTCAAACAGTAGGGAGCAGTGTCGTCTTAAATCTCTCCATCCACCCGACCCTCATATTAGCAACCTTTTCTCCTCCCTCAACCTTACCCCTCCCCTTCCTCTTAAACCTTGATTAAAGGCACTTTGTAGTGTAGTGTAGTGCTGTGCGCACTTCATCTGCCTTATTTGTTGATAAATGGACACGATTTTATTCTGAGTGAAATACCTAATATAATATTAAGATCAATATTAACCCAAGATAAATCTCTAAAACAAGCTAATAAATATAATGTGTCTTTTCTTTTTTTCCAAGAGCTCTATTATCGAATTAAGAACAATATTTATTTCCTTCCCAAAACCTCCCAAAGCTAAAGGAGGATATTTTAAAATGTTCAATGATATTATACCCATCCTCAGAATTTCTTACACATAGATTTAATTTTGATCACAACAATTGTACATTCTGTGAGGTTGACATTGAAACGACTGCACATTTATGTTCTGAATGTTTATATATAGCAGAACCTTTTGGTCTGATTCATTCGAGTGGTTAAAGATTTCTCTCAAGTTGTCCTCCCAATTTTCTAAAAATTGTATTTTCTTTGGTTTATAGGGAAATATGTCAATATTCAATTTGTACTAAACAATATTCTAATTTGGGGGAAATGTAATATTCATAAATGCAAGTGACTCAAAACAAAACCACTTTTTTTTTTAGTTTTCCAAAAGGAATTTTGATTATACTGTAAATATTTAAAGTTGCTACAATTAAAATGTGGAAGAAGACTGTTTAGTTTATTGAAAAAAAATAAATTAATAGAAGACCTGGTGTAAATGTTTTTTCTTTCTTTCTTTTAGTTGTGTTTGTGTGTCTATTCTGTGGTTTAAGTGTATATTTTTGTATTACTATTTTATTGATGTCATTATTTGTGCTCTTTTCTATAAATGGGGATGAAAGTTTTTAAAATTTTGCCTTATTGAAATTGTGTTATAATGCAATAAAAAAATAATGTGTAGTGTCGAGACCTAGACATCATGTTAAACACTAAAATATAATCGCATTTTATGTCTGTGGTTCATCAGTCTGTCATTTTATCAGCCTGACTACAAAAAACACCTCATTCAAAGATGTAGAACTCACAGTTATGGAGACTACTGAGGGATGTAAACAATAACAATGGTCCTAATGCATTTCCTGAATTATCTTTTTTTAAATTTTAAACAATTGAAATTTTTTTAAAGCCTCTAAGAATCCAAAATGAGCCACATATTGAAAAATAATGGTATGGCAGCCGTTTAACATTATGATTAAATTGCCTTACAGTTACGAAATAGTTTGGCGACAAGCAGGTAATGTTCATGGGCCAATGACATCAACACATTAAAATGATCTGTCTGGCCGAATAAATGAATTAAAGATATAAGACTCCATATATTCTTCAGTAGAGTTATTCATGTGAGAAAATTTAAGTAGCACGGGTTCTATTAATCTGCTGTTTCATGCATAGCACTTGGAAATAAGTGCATTTGCTGTGCTCATTACATCAACACCTACTTTTTAAGGAAAGTGCTCTTTGTGGTTGCCAGGCAACATTCAATTTTCCCTCTTCATTGTGCCCATATTAGAAATGGCCACATGGATGGAACTGCATCATGAAAATAAAAAAGCTGCATGCTCAGCGCTAATAATAGCAGAATAATACAAAGTGGGAGAAAATTGGTGAATATCGAGAGTTATTCAAAACAGTCAAGTTTTACTAGATTCATTCACCAAAAATTACCCATTATTTTACTCATACTCATAATTATTTTACTCATCATTTACTTTATATTAGAAGTTTATAAAAAAAAATAACATAGGTAATGTTGTTGCATTTGTCGTGCCAAAACCTGCCGGTTGAAATGTCGATGCACACATTTTGATTCAGTTCTTGATTCAGTTGTAAGGCAAGGCAATTTTTTATATAGCACATTTCATACACAATGGTATTTTAAGTGCTTTACATAAACAAGAACAAAAGAGATTATACTTATATTAGGTATTATACTTGATAGGGGAATAAAAACAAAGAATAAAATGACTAATAATGTGTGAAAACAGGTTATAAAA